TCCAGCTTCTAGTTTAGAAGGTTTTGTTCATGCGTACGATCCAGAGCCTGATTTATTCACGTGTGGAAGTTAAATTAAATACCATCTGAAGACTTTAGGATGATAATGAACATGAACAAGGCAGAACAAGTGGTGTACTTGTATTTCTATGTGAATGGTTCTGTATCTAAAAGCCAGGTATTATTACTGCCCAGAGGGAGCTCCCATGCTAAAATCATATGCACTGGTTCCAGTGGAAAATCCTTCGATAGAGGCCAATTTCACACTTTGGGGGCCACAAGTAGTCGAGAGGCAATTGGATCATTTTCAAGAAACTTCAAAACATGTCATGAAGTTGATATAATCTCATTAGTGTCATTAGACTGAAGGTTTTTGTCTTTGTTTTGTTAATTAGAACAGTTGCTGGTGGTCCCAGCTTTCCCTGAATACAGCTCTCACATTTTTTAATTAGTTTCAGTTTCACTTTGAGTTGATTAATTCTCAATAAGGAAGGAAAAACATGAGAGCAGCGACCAGCTTCAAAATGAAAATGTTTTTTTGAGGGAATATGTACACAGAGGGAGCAACGTTTTCACATTTTCTGTTCCAGCAGTTGTGAATTGACCTGAGAAAAATAAAGAGTTGTTCCACACAAGTAAACATAAAATCCTCCTCAGCACTGTTTCTGTGTCTTCCAGTCAGTCTTTGCATTCTTTTGCAGAGTCGATGATCAATCATGAGCTCAGTGAAGAATGTTGTTGTTAAAGAGTTGGATTCTTTTTTTTATTGTTATTATCGAGTTATTGGAGACCAAAATGAAGCGAAATGAGAGTAAATGTAGTTGTAACTGTAAACTTGCTCTCTTGTGGGAAAATCTTACTCAAGGTTTAGGAGTGTTTATGGGAATTTTTGAGCATTCTTGTAGAAGTGTATTGTGAGGTGAGACACAGATATTGGATGAGAAGCCCTGGCTAACAGTCTCCACTCTAATTCATCCCGAAGGTGTTCTGTCGAGTTGAGGTCAGGGTTCTGTGAAAGCCAGTCAAGTTATTCCAAACCAAACTCGCTCATCCGTGTCTTTATGGACTTTGCTTTGTGCACTGATGTGCAGTCATGCTGGAACAGGAAGGGGCCATCCCCAAACTGTTCCCACAAATTTGCTTGTTTTTATACACCTGTGGCCATGGAAGTGATAGGAACACCTGAATTATATCAGAGACTACTACACCATATATCTGGAAGATGTGGTGTATATTCAAAAATGTAAAGCAACTCTTTGATTAAAGAGCTCGTAATTTTTGGCCAGCAATGTGTAATTTTCGTTTTCAGGGCTTGTTTCTGTTGCTGCCAAGAGGCCAAAGAGTGCATGTGTGTGTCTTTGTGGAACGTTAAGTGTGTTTCCCCAAACCTTTTGTGTCACGTGGTCTGCGTGTCCTGGAGGGCCTAGCAGCATCTGGTTTGCGCTCGGTGCGTTTTGCTCTGGAGGTCCCAGGCCTGCAGGGCGTCACTGCCAACGACTTCCCTGCATGTGAGTGAAGTTGGCCCCCCCACCTTCTTCAAATCCAACAAAAGTGGTATCAAACGTTTGTGCTACGTTTGTGCTACTATCATTTTAAAGATATTAATAAAAATTTCTAGAGGTCATCAGAGGTCAACCAGCCCCCCCACATTAATTAAATCAAACAAAATGGGTTCAATCAACTGTGCTACGTTTGTGCTGGTTTGTGCTGCAAAAATTGTCATTTGTGCTGCTTCTGTTTTAAAGATATTAATGAAAATGTAAAGGTCAAAAGGTCAACCAGCCCCCCCACATTACCCAAATCAAACAAAATTGATGTCAAACGTTTGTGCTACGTTTGTGCTGCAAAAGCTTTCGTTTGTGCTGCTATCATTTTAAAGATATTAATAAAAATTTCTAGAGGTCATCAAAGGTCAACCAGCCCCCCCATATAAATGGAATCAAACAAAATTGGTGTCAATCAGTTGTGCTACGTTTGTGCTGGTTTGTGCTGCACAAATGTTTGTTTGTGCCGCTATTATTTTAAAGATATTAACAAAAATTTCTAGAGGTCAACCAGCCCCCCCATATTAATGGAATCAAACAAAATTGATGTCAAACGTTTGTGCTGGTTTGTGCTGCAAAAATGTTTGTTTGTGCTGCTAACATTTTAAAATTTTTAATAAAATAACATCTTGATGCGTGCTTAATCATCCAGGTAAGTCAATCCCAAAAGGTTGATTCTGTTCATCTGGACATTTTCAGTTGGGGAAATGTTTCGTCACTCATCCAAGTGACTTCTTCAGTTTCAGCTGACTGCAGGTTTCCCCAACCTTATAAACACACGTGAGTGAAGTTGGCCCCCCTACCTTCTTCAAATCGAACAAAATTGATGTCAAACATTTGTCCTGCAAATTATTTTGTTTGTGCAGGTTATGTTTCCCTAATTTTATAAACAGTACATGTACAGTGAGAGAGAGAGATGTTACATCTGTCTTCACTTGCATCCCAGTCATAGAGGCGTTGGAGGTCGTTCATAAGAGATTACAGGATCATCCCAACCTCAGCAACAGGACCACTCTCAGCACTGATCAGTTGTGTTTGCTTTTGGAACTGTGTCTTAATTCCACCTATTTTGCATAAGGGTCAGTACAGGCAGAAATCTAGGTGTGCCATGGGTTCCCACAGGCCCCTGGTCAAAGTCACCAAACCAGTTCATAAGCAGGTACAGGTGTGGCCAGAAGGGTCCTCAGAGGCACTGCTTTTCCACCACAGGCTGCCACACACGACAACACCACAGACTTTCAGGAATATACAGAAACTGTCACTGCCTACATCCCAAAATGCATCGATGATGTCACAGAGACCAGGACTATCACTGTCCGGGCCAATCAGAAATGCAAGCCTTCAGAGCCAGGAATTAGGAGAGTCTAAGAACAGCAAGGGCAAACCTGTCACGTGGCATCAGCTACAGCAAAGCTTCAGCGACAGCAGAGATACTTGGAGGCAGTGGCAAGGAATACAAACCATTACAGACTACAAGCCCACTCTACAGACCGTGGTGACACAATCCCCAGACAGTGTGTGGAGATCCCTTGCCAAAATCAGTACACGCAAAGCTCCAGGTGCTGATAACATCCTTGGACGAGCACTGACGGACTATGCTGTGGAACTCACAAATGTCTTCACAGACATCTTTAACACATCACTAGGGTCAGGCCGTCGTTCCCACATGCCTCAAAGCCTCAACCATCATTAGTGTACCCAAGAAGTCATCTATCTCCTGCTTTAAGGACTACCGTCCTGTCAAACTCACCTCCATCATTATTAAGTTAAGTGCTTTGAACGGTTAGTCATGCATCAAATCAAATTATCGCTTTCCCCCAACCTGGATCCATTTCAGTTCGCATACCGGTCAAAACGCTCAACCGATGATGGAATTTCAACTGCCCCTCACTCAGCCCTCACACATCTGAACACTAGAGACTCATATGTCAGAGTGCTGTTCATAGACTTCAGTTCAGCATTCAACACCATCATTCCCCAGCAACTCATTCACAAACTGGATCTGCTGGGGATCAGCACCTTGCTGTATAACGGGCTGCTAGATTTCTTGACAGGAAGACAGCAGACAGTACGGGTCGACAGCAACACCTCCAGCCCAAGAACACTGAATACGAGGGCTCCCCAAGGATATGTGTGTTGAGCCCCCTTCTCTTCACTCTGCTGACCCACGATGAGATCTACTACAGGGGTGAAGTTAACCATCTGGTAGAGTGGTACAGCAACAACAACCTGTCCCTGAATGTGGAGAAGACCAACAGCGACTCTACTTCCTCTGCAAACTGAGAAGCACAAGAGATTCAACCCCCATTATGAGCACCTTTTACAGAGGCACAGTTAAGAGTATCCTCACCAGCTGCATCACTGTATGGTATGACTCCTGCACTGGGTTCTGCAGGAAAAAATGACAATCAGTAGATCTCCCCAGGAGATCTACTGCACCTGCCTCATCTGGAAGGTCCTCTCCATTACAGGTGACTCCACTCATCTCTTCAACAGCGTCTTCAGTTTGCTGCCATCAGGAAGGATACTGAAGAGCCTCCGGGCCAGAACCAGCAGACTGAGAGACAGCTTCGTCCATTGGGCCGTCAGGATGCTGACCATCTCTGAATCGAGAAGGGGGGCCCAAGGGTACATCTTTCGCCATCCTAAAATGCTGTGATTGTAGCCATTCCCCACTTTCTGTGAATGGTACTCATGGCCATTGATCAGTAGGCTTTGATTAGTTGTCATTGATCAATGGTCATAAGAATTTGCATACTAACAATCATGGAACTAACCCCCCAGCACATTGTTCATTCAGTGGCGCTAGTTTCCTTCACTATGCAAATGTACTGTTTATAAGGTTGGGGAAACCTGCAGTCAGCTGAGACTGAAGAAGTCACTTGGATGAGTGACGAAACGTTTCTCCAACTGAAAATGTCCAGATGAACAGAATCAACCTTTTGGGATTGACTTACCTGGATGATTAAGCACGCATCAAGACGTTATTTTATTAAAAATTTAAAATGTTAGCAGCACAAACAAACATTTTTGCAGCACAAACCAGCACAAACGTTTGACATCAATTTTGTTTGATTCCATTAATATGGGGGGGCTGGTTGACCTCTAGAAATTTTTGTTAATATCTTTAAAATAATAGCGGCACAAACAAAAATTTGTGCAGCACAAACCAGCACAAACGTAGCACAAACGTTTAACATCAATTTTGTTTGATTTGGGTAATGTGGGGGGGCTGGTTGACCTTTTGACCTTTACATTTTCATTAATATCTTTAAAACAGAGGCAGCACAAACGAAAATTTTTGCAGCACAAACCAGCACAAACGTTTGATACCACTTTTGTTGGATTTGAAGAAGGTGGGGGGGCCAACTTCACTCACATCTTCCCTGCTAAGGCGGCGGCTCTGATCGCCAGGAATGCCCAGTACAACGGAGTGAGCCACCTGCTCCACGCCAGCTGCAGAGATGCCAGGTATGACTAGTCAGCATGTTTCCTCTGCTTTACTTCCCACTTTTATCAGCTCCACTGTTCAGTACCATCTTCTTTCCCCCCATACTTCTTGTTTCATTGTTCTTCACTTTTGACCTTTGACCATTTAAAATAAATAAATAAAAATTTCTCTCCCGGGTTTTAAACACAGCATGCTGATGTATGGTAAATGGCCTGCATTTGTATAGCGCTTTTCTAGTCCATAGGACCCCAAAGCGCTTTACACTACATTCAGTCATTCACCCATTCACACACTGGCGATAGCAAGCTACATTGACAGAGGCGAGGCTGCCGGACACAGGCGCCTCCGGGCCCTCTGACCACCACCAGTAGGCAAACATGGGGTTAGTATCTTGCCCAAGGATATTTGGCATGCAGCCAGGATGCAGCCTGGGATCGAACCACCGACCTTCTGATTAGTGGCTGACCTGCTCTGCAACCTGAGCTACAGCCACCCCTGTGTATGACATGCGAGCGAAGAAGGATCGCTATGACGTCATTGATCTGGATCCCTACGGTAGCCCGGCCTCTTTCCTGGATGCTGCCGTTCAGTCTGTCAGTGAAGGAGGTGGGTAGTTCACCGTAGCAGCTCCTCTAGGTTTCATCACTGTCAGGGATGTGGAAAGTTTCAGATCACTGTTGTAACTGCAAGTATTCAACTAGTGCAGAGGCTGCTGACACATGCATGTATGCAGTCTTTTAAAAAGCCAACAGCATGGTGCATGTGTGTGATAGACTAAATGTTAACTGGCTGAAAGTTTCAATTAAATGTGATTTTTATAGCAACAAATCACAACAACAGCCACCTCTAGGTGCTTCATATTCTAAAGTAAAGATCGTACTCTAAGGAGCTCGGTCAAGTGCTCCTTGCCAGCTTAATGGCCTGTTGTATGTAGCCCAATAATGGAGGTAGAAGCTGACACCACACGGAGCTGTTTTCAACACTGCGTTTCATCTGAAGTGAATTCAGATACTTTTCAAAATTCACCATAAAATCAGTTTGGCAGCTGATCAGAAGTGGGCGAGAGATTGTTAGTGAAATAATTCTTGTTTGGTTTGATCCACTTTAAGTGTCAAAATCACTTTGTTTGTCACAAAGCAGAGAATAGTATGTGTGTGTGTGTGTGTGTGTGTGTGTGTGTGTGTGTGCGTGTGTGAGTGTGTGAGTGTGAGTGTCTTTTTGTGTATATGTATGATGTCTAATCTACACGGTTAAGCTGCCACTGCAGGTTTATAAATTTCAGTCTTTTAGATTTCTCGTCTTCTCTCCCCCCCCTCTCAGGTCTTTTATGTATAACCTGTACAGACATGGCGGTGATGGCAGGAAACAGTGGAGAAACTTGCTACAGCAAATACGGTTCAGTCTCCATCAAAGCCAAATATTGTCATGAAATGGTGAGTATACAGAGTATACACACAAACAAACACACTCTCCACACTCTGGCTCACTCTCAGAAATGTGAAAATGACACATTGCAGTACATGCACAGTCATGTTTGCATTAGTGTGTAAGCATGCAGAATGTATCTGAGTGAGACGGTGACGCTGTAAGTAATCGTACGTTCAATTTAGCCAAGTGAGTTTTCGTGACGTCAAAAACAAATGATATTTGATTCTTGTTGCGATTGTCTGAGGTTATAATCCTTCAGTGTGCACACTTTGGGAAAAGAAATAGCAGAGCAATGATTGGCTACCTCTCCAGAAGTTCCTCTTCTTGTGGATCATCTCCAGCTCCTCCATTTTGGACCGCAGATGGTGACTCTACTTTCTGTTCAACCTGAAGGCATCAAGCCTGCACTTGCTTCAGGTACAGTATAAGTTGGACCTCCGGCTAGTAACGGATCACCGGGACAGCCGTCACCAGCTGCAGTCCAAGATGTTGGAGTCAGTTTCGCGATGAGAGACTCAGAATTGACTGTTTTATTACATGTAATTAGAAAACTCCCTGAAAAGCCTTCAGTTGATCCAAAATGATGCAGCGAGAGTACTGACAGGGACTAGAAAGGAAGAGCATATTTCTCCTATTTTGGCTTCTCTTCACTGGCTCCCTGTTAAATCCAGGACATAAAAGATCTTTAATAATCATCCCCCATCTTATCTTAAAAACCTCAGAGTACTGTATCACCCCAGTAGATAACTTCACTCTCAGACTGCAGGCTTACTTGTGGCTCCCTTTCCTGTTGAGATTTGGGAGACAAACACTCTCTACCTTTAAGATTAGGCTTAAAACTTTCCTTTTTGATAAGGGATAAAGTTAGGGTTGGATCAGGTGACCCCGAATCCTCCCTTATATATGCAGCAATAGGCCTTGGCTGCTCGGTGCTTCCCCTGATCCACTGGGTGTTTCTTCTAAACTCATTATGTGTTTAATTATTAGTAATTGATTAATCTTTGGATCACGTTCACAGTATGCCTTTGTCTCGTCTCCCTCCCCTCATCCCAACGGGTCACAGCAGATGGCTCCGCCCCTCCCTGAGCCTGGTTCTGCTGGAGGTTTCTTCCTGTTAAAAGGGAGTTTTTCTTTCCCACCATCACTAAGTGCTTTCTCATGTTTTGTCAGATTTGTGAGTTTTCTCTGTATTATTGCAGGGTCTTTACCTTTATAATATAAGGACACTGTTGTTGTGATTTGGCACTATATAAATAAAAATGAATTGGATTGAAATTAAATATTAGTAAAATAACAAAATATATGCAAAAAATACAGAAAAAAGTAAAAGACATAAAATATCTCTATATACCACACAATTCTACATGTTTGAAAAGCAGAAGGATAAATTTTACACTTATTTGATGAGTGAAAGTCACGACTGTTACCTGCCTGTAGGGAAACATGAGACAGGAAGACTGTAGGTGGCTTTTTAAAATAAGGGTGAAGGGCTTATCGAGTCATCTAAGTCAAACATGCAGCTGTCTCAGTGGGATCCAGATGGATAACAATAAATTACACAGTATACTTGGGCAACCATCCAAAGAGTCATCGTGTAGACAACGCCGTTCGTGTTGAATATTTTCTTTGGCAGAAATACAAGAAAAGAGCAACTGGTGAATATGTTTGCACCACAGCCAGAACATGTGTGGTGTTCTCATAAAGGTCTTTTCTTCTTTTTCCCACCTTCTCATGTGCTATCATGATCTGATTTCATGCTGCATATAGCACAAGTAGTTTTCCACACAGTAGTGGAATTCACACCTTCTCTAGCTGTGAGTGGCAGTAATGGAACATAAATGCAAGGATCATTAAAAAAACCTCATAAATTCTATTTGATTTGATGAAAAAGAAACCCCTCTGCAGCCGAATAAAACTTCTTATCCAACATAATTTCCTCACATCCCTGTAAACAGATCCGAGATGTTTTCCAGATTTTCACAGCAAGAGGAAAAAAAAAGTGCTGAATACGTGCCTCTCTCCATCTTTGAACTCCAGGCTCTGCGTATCATCCTGCACAGTTTGGACCAGAGGGCAGGAGTGTACCAGCGATACATCCAGCCCCTGCTGTCCGTCAGTGTCGACTTTTACATTCGAGTCTTCATCCGCGTCTTCACAGGACAGGCTACAGTCAAAAACTCAGCCAGGTGCTCGCTCACACACACGCACGCACTGTCTGCTAACAAAGGCTGATCTATCCTGTGTGATGAAAGATGAATGATCCTGAAACTGGGTCATTGCAGGAACAAATGCACAAAGTAACAGCAGCAGGGGGATTTGTGAGGGTAAAAGTAAAGTGCTAATAGAATAATAGAAATCTGGGTACGTGACACTAAAAGATGATATTATGACTGATGTGCTCAGTATTGAAACACAATATGACACTGCAGTTGAGTCCCGTCTCTCTTTGTTGCAGTAAGCAGGCGCTGGTGTACAACTGTGTCGGCTGCGGGGCTTTCCACTTGCAGAGAATGGGCAGGAGAACAAGCAACGGAAAACAGTGAACACTAAACACTCTGCTGCTTCTTCTAATGAGGTTCTGTGTGTGATGGTTCAGTCGAGGTGTGCTCATCAGCGAACTGGCGGCTTGAAATAAAGTCCTCAGTTTATGGTGTTTCTGTAAAATAACATTCTTTTTGGATGTAAAAATCTTAGGTTGAACTCAATCAAAAGGTTGAGTTCAAGGAGCCATGGATGGATACGTTAGGCTAAATGCTTTACTATTAAATGTGAGGTTTGCTGTTCAGAGTATGGAACGCCAGGACTGCCATAATGAATTAATTAAATACACCATTAAATAATTAATTAAATGTGGCAATAATTAATTAAAATTGGAATTAATTAATTAAATAAATAGTACTGACCTTACTTTAAGTTTGATTCCATAAAAAGTGACAAAAACATTAGCTTCCATTAGCATTGTGCGTGGGAAGAAAACATATTTTTACAGCGAAAAAAACCCCTAAACTTCCAAGCAAGCTCCGAGTGCACTACCACGTAATGGGAAATTCACAGAGAAACTGCCGTATCCTTCCACTGACCGCTGCGGCACACCTGCACCAAGGTAAACCTCCGCCTACCCAACTCCTGCTTTACAGGTGAAAATAGAGCAAAAGGATATATGGAACGCCAGGACTGCCATAACGAATTAATTAAATACACCATTAAATAATTAATTAAATGTGGCAATAATTAATTAAAATGTGAAATACATAAATAATTAATTAAATATATAATTAAATAATTAATTAAATGTGGCAACAATTAATTAAAATGTGAAATACATAAATAATTAATAAAATGTGTCAATAATTAATTACATGTGTCATACCTATTTATTTAATTAATTAATTCCAATTTTAATTAATTATTGACACATTTAATTAATTATTTAATGGTGTATTTAATTAATTCATTATGGCAGTCCTGGCGTTCCATAAAAGGACCGCTAGTCTTTGACTTTATTTATTTTCTGCTGTGCTTTACTTGCATCTATTTGAAAGACTGAGTGTAAACACAAAAAAATATATATTTTATGTGCTGGAGTGTGCAGAAAATAGGTTTAAATATTAAACAAATTTCTTCCAGTCAGAGAATGTTGCATATAATTACATTTTTGCTTGATGCATAAAGTTAAGTTAAGATTAAAATTAATAAAACTATAAAACTTTTAAAAAGAGACTTTTCCATTTGATTACATTTTGTATGATGGATTATGCAGAAAAAGTAGAATTGGGCTGAAAGATCTATCGCTTTATCACCTATTCAGGTTGTAAATCGTGTTTTTAAAAAGTAACTAAGTAACTAAGTAATTAATTACTTTTGAAAATAAGTAATCAGTAAAGTAACGGGATTACTTTTTGGGGGAAGTAATCAGTAATTAGTTACTGATTACTTTTTTCAAGTAACTTGACCAACACTGGACATGACATTAAAATGTTAGCTTTAGATTTCCAAATTGCCTTAGTGGATTAACCACCACTAGAGGGAGACAGAAGACTGCATTTCATTTAGTAGTCTTTGAAATTTTCTCAAAATTTCACTGAATTATTTTCATGTAATTTTTTTCACATAGCAATTAACAAATGAAATGAAATATTTAAGTCAATGATCCATGACACTGTGTCCATGATGATGTGTTAATTGGTTTTTCCAGTACATATACTCCTGTAACATGTTGAAAAACTTGATCTTGATGAGATGGCACATTTTAAGCCTGAATTCTTTTTCTTTTTCTTTTGTAAAGAACCACATATAACACAAGGTTCATTCAAAGCTCATCTGAATGTTGGTGTTTGTATACAGTGGGGCAAAAAAGTATTTAGTCAGCCACCGATTGTGCAAGTTCCTCCACTTAAAATGATGACAGAGGTCAGTAATTTGCACCAGAGGTACACTTCAACTGTGAGAGACAGAATGTGAAAAAAAAAATCCATGAATCCACATGGTAGGATTTGTAAAGAATTTATACGTAAATCAGGGTGGAAAATAAGTATTTGGTCACCTCAAACAAGGAAGATCTCTGGCTCTCACAGACCTGTAACGTCTTCTGTAAGAAGGTTTTCTGTCCCCCACTCGTTACCTGTATGAATGGCACCTGTTTGAACTCATCATCTGTATAAAAGACACCTGTCCACAGCCTCAAACAGTCAGACTCCAAACGCTGCCATGGTCAAGACCAAAGAGCTTTCGAAGGACACCAGGAAAAGTATTGTAGACCTGCACCAGACTGGGAAGAGTGAATCTACAATGGGCAAGCAGCTTGGTGTGAAAAAATCAACTGTGGGAGCAATCATCAGAAAATGGAAGACATATAAGACCACTGATAATCTCCCTCGATCTGGGGCTCCACGCAAGATCTCATCCCGTGGGGTCAAAATGATCATGAGAACGGTGAGCAAAGATCCCAGAACCACACGGGGGGACCTGGTGAATGACCTGCAGAGAGCTGGGGCCAAAGTAACAAAGGTCACCATCAGTAACACACTACAACGGCAGGGAATCAAATCCCGCAGTGCCAGACGTGTTCCGCTGCTGAAGCCAGTGCATGTCCAGGCCCGTCTGAAGTTTGCCAGAGAGCACATGGATGATACAGCAGAGGATTGGGAGAATGTCATGTGGTCAGATGAAACCAAAGTAGAACTTTTTGGTATAAACTCAACTCGTCGTGTTTGGAGGAAGAAGAATACTGAGTTGCATCCCAAGAACACCATACCTACTGTGAAGCGTGGGGGTGGAAACATCATGCTATGGGGCTGTTTTTCTGCCAAGGGGACAGGACGACTGATCCGTGTTAAGGACAGAATGAATGGGGCCATGTATCGTGAGATTTTGAGCCAAAACCTCCTTCCATCAGTGAGAACTTTGAAGATGAGACGAGGCTGGGTCTTCCAACATGACAATGATCCAAAACACACCGCCCGGGCAACAAAGGAGTGGCTCCGTAAGAAGCATTTGAAAGTCCTGGAGTGGCCTAGCCAGTCTCCAGACCTCAACCCCATAGAAAATCTGTGGCGGGAGTTGAAAGTCCGTGTTGCTCGGTGACATCCCCAAAACATCACTGCTCTCGAGAAGATCTGCATGGAGGAATGGGCCAAAATACCAGCTACTGGGTGTGCAAACCTGGTAAAGACCTATAGTAAACGTTTGACCTCTGTTATTGCCAACAAAGGTTATGTTACAAAGTATTGAGTTGTATTTTTGTTATTGACCAAATACTTATTTTCCACCCTGATTTACGAATAAATTCTTTACAAATCCTACCATGTGGATTCATGGATTTTTTTTTTTCACATTCTGTCTCTCACAGTTGAAGTGTACCTCTGGTGCAAATTACTGACCTCTGTCATCATTTTAGGTGGGGGAACTTGCACAATCGGTGGCTGACTAAATACTTTTTTGCCCCACTGTACATCTCAACAGACGAGCTGTTACTTAGAGAGTTCAGGGTCTTATGGTGGAAAAGTTTGTAATTATGCGAGCTGCTCTGGATAAATCCTCTGCTCCATCTGAGTCTCAGTCCACAGAACCTCACAGTATTCCCAGCAAACAGATGACTTCACCTTATAGAAACCTTTTAGAACTATTAATTTATCTTAACTGTTTTTTTTTTTTTTTTTTTTTTTCAGTAGGTAAGTTTTTACCACAAACTTTGTCTTTATTAGCTTTATGACGTAGTCCCAAGGGAACAACAGAATTTCAACCACTTAAGCTGTAAATAATTTATTTCCTCTAAATAAATAAAATAAAGTGATGCTAATAACAGCAGCCATGTGTAGTCCTCTGGAACACAACTCTGTTTGCATTATTACAGGGGTGGTTGTAGCTTAGGTGGTAGAGCAAGAGCAGGTCATCTAACCGGAACGTTAGTGTTTTGATCCCAGTCTGCATGCCAAATATTCCTGGCCAAGATACTAACCCCATGTTGCTTGTATGCTTTAGACAAAAGGCGCATAGAAACAGCATATAAAAAAGTGCTTGGGTGAATGAGGTTGTGTAGTGCTCAGACTAGAAAAACGTCTGACGAACCTAATTTCTTTTTGCCAGTAAGAACTGAAGCGCTAATGTCAGGTGCACCTACACTCTAGCGCCTCATGAGGGCAGCATTTCGTCTTTGCGAACGTATTCGTGACGTCATCCCGTGTAACTTCCTGTAATCTCGGGTCCGTTCCTCAAATCGTCCGCTGTTGTGGTTCAGAAGGCCAAGTACCGACGTGCCGGTCATTTCAAAAACCTTAAAGGTAGAGAAACAATTTCCAAGTTGTTTTATGACAGTGAATTGTTGACTTGGCGTCATGCTCGGTTAATATAAGATGGGATATAGATACAGCAATTTAGCTAAAAGGAAATGTGCAAAAGTCCTTGACAATGTGCGCTACAAATCGGCTGCTATTCAGTGCTAGCTTAGTTTAAGAAACAGGTGAGCTTAGCAAGAATCGCTTACGTTCCGTTTGGAAGGCAAACCTAAACTCTGCTAGTATTTATTGTGTATTAAATGATGGGAAGTTGGTTGTCAATTTGTCATGACGTGTGTGTTTTAGTAGTCACTGTCACTATCGCGTTCTGCCGAAGTACTTTTATTTCCAAATGTTGGTATTGTTATGTAATCTAGAAAGGATATGTTGCATTGTACATTACATCTAATATTAGAAAGTAACAGTACAGGATTAATAAACGTTTGCATGCATATTGTTTCATATGGCATAACTTACCTGTGCCCCCCCCATAAAAAAAATAAAAATGAACTTTAATCTGTTAATGTTATCCACGTTGTGTTCTCTTTCAACTATTACACCTTAATGCATAAACTTTGATGTCTGGTTTCAGATTTAGGACGTGATGGCTGCAACACTGCGTGTACTTTACTCTGCATCAAGGCCAGGTATGACGGCCTTACATTCTTATTCACTCAACAGTTCAGAGAGCCTTGTTGCCACATATCCTTTCTTACTTCTCACCCCTGTCATGCATTTATGTATACCAGGGGTCCCCAACTCCAGGCCTC